CAACCTGCCAAACCCAACTCAACCGGACTCTCTCACTCAAAACCCGTTCAATTATTTTTTGTAAATATTGTGAATGTGGGCTGTGTGTGTGTGTGTGTGTGTAATCTATCCCCTGCCTTTAGAGGTGCAACGGTTCATCACTGATCCGTGATCTGTTCAGATCAACGTCTTCGGTTCGGTACAGACGTGATCCGCGGTTTGATTTATGAAAAAAAGTTGTGCACTCCCACTATGTTGTTTAGTTCACACACAGCGTAATCATGGCGAGCGGAGGAACAGAGAAGCCTGTGTCATTTAAATCCCCGGTATGAGAGCATTTTGGCTTCACTGTAACTATACTGATGATTAAATAGTCGACAAAACAGTCACAGTGTAAATACTGTGGCACAAGACCGACCCTTTACGCACAGTCAGACCGGGCTAAAGTCAACTCTCCCGCGTATCCTCAGTTGCGCTCACAACTGACGCTTGGACGTCCCGCGGAACCTATAATAGATCCATGAGCGGTTGAGATAACCATGAAATGTTACGATAACCGCTCACTTCATCACTGCAGACTGCGCGATGAAAAGTCGGGCGTTGCAGACACGCCCCCTCTACGAAAGTCAAGTGTGTCAGTACAGGCACACAGCGCAGGTACTGACACACAGCACAGGTACTGACACAGCAGTGGAGGAATGGAAGACAAAGGCCCAGTACTAATATCCCAGTTACAACTGATAATGCCAAAAATTAAATAAATGCAGTGAATGAGGCTGGGGGCCCAGGATGGAGCGCCTCCTCGGGAGAATCAGGAAGGTGGTTTAATATATGAGAGTAAATATTCTCATAATGTGCCTTCTTATGTTGCACTTTGTGTTTTTCATTAATTATGTTAAAAAGACATAATTGGATGGATGGAATATGCCATCCATTTTCTTCCCCTTAATCCATTTCTAGGTCAGGGGGGTGGCAGTCAGATCTGTGCACCCAGTTCACAGATCACCAGCCCCTCACTGATCCTCCTGCAGGTGCCGAGTCCACAGGAGCCGTGTTTATTAAATAGACAAAACCTTTTTTTTTTTTTTTAAATGAACTGAACCGAGGTACGATCCCAACCGTGATTTTTTTCAAACCGTTGCACCCCTAATATCTAGCTTCTGGTCTGAGCCCAAATACAATCAGTTTACTGGACTTAATATTGTTATATGCTACACTAGCTGTTTTTTCAGTCTTTGAAATGTTTATAAATTATTTTGAAATACAGATACTGTTATTGTTGAGAATAAAATTCCAAGTATATTGGAAATGTTTATGTATTTTGTGTCATATTTTAACTTTGCGTTTATCAATGGTAATGGCACACTAGATGAGAAGAAAATTTCAAACTGGCACTCCATGTCACAAACGTTGCCGACCCCTGCCATAGTCCATCGGCCCATGCGTTATTGGGGTGTGTGTCTGTGTGAGGCTTACACAAATCTAATGAAAACATACATTGCTTTACCAGATGTGAATGAGGAATACAAATTACGCAGCGCAGAGCCTGCCACAGCAATAGATGGGTCACACATCCCTGTCGCGTAAAGTGTATTTGTATAGACCCTTTCACTGTCCAGGATCACAAAGCGCTTCACATTTTAAAAACATACAGATCAAAATGATAGTCACAGAAGTCAGATTCAAAATCATAGAAACAGAAGAGGCTCATGATCTGTGATTTATTCAAAGTTTGCGTGTTTCCAGAGTGTTAGACTTTTTCATATGCGCAAATTCAAATGGGGAATATGTTTATTGTTGTCCAAATCTTGCATTTCGTGTTTTGGCGTGTTGTGACGAAGGGTGAAATGAGCGTACACATTTACACCACCTATTGACTTGGTGTAAATTCTGTGCGTACCGTACGCTCACGTCCAGATTGATAAATGCGGAAAAGTGTAAATATTTTGCGTACGCCTCATTTACACTTTGATTTGGCCGTACGTAAGTTTCATACATGAGGCCCAATGTCACAATTTGTCTTCGATTTTGACTCCCATTGTTTTGTCCTTTTAGTTTCATGAATACATCCTGTTTGTCATAACCATAGACGTCATAACAAAAAGTAACATGTTGTGAAAAAATCAGATTTGTTTCAGATACTGAGAGCTGATTGGCTGAGTAAAGGTGGTGAGGGTGGGATAGAGGCCAAAAGTATATGCGTGTGAAAACTATAGAACCAAACCAAGTTAGGTACCCCAGCTTTAAGATGAAGATTTACCCTTTGTATCTTGAGAACAGAATACCTGAGGATGTTAGGTTATTCTGCAGCCCTAATTCACACGAGTGTATATTTACAAGAAAAATTGCTCTGGAGTCAATAGGCAATTTTTGAGGTCACAATTAGCAAAAGTCAAAGATTGCTAAAGTCCCCTGCAAATGAGAAATTATCCTATTTATGCAGACCCTCAAGTTCAAACCACACTCTAATGTGTTCTTGGATTAGTTCAGCAGCTCGTATTTCTGTCTGTTCTTAAATATTCATGCTCTTGGACAGAGTTTGTTTTATAACTGTAATCCAGGGGCCGAGAGCCACAATATATACAATGTTTTATGAGTTTTCTAATCATGCAGAGCAGTCAGTGCGCAGTTATTGCGACCAGTCTGCACCTTATCAAACGGCTTCCTCATGAATTCACAGGGACTCAAAATGGTGTTAGAATTGTGTGTTCATCTAAAAATTGAGTTTTTTGTTTTACATAAGCAACTATAACCAGTGCCAGAGAGTGTTTTGTCCTGTCTGACACAGAAACAGTAATTAAACTTTGTTGACAGCCAAAGCCTGATTTTTCCTCCTAATTATAATATTAGTCAAAACATCACATCATTGACAAGAAAAATAAGGCAACAAACCAAAAAAAACATGCACATTTCTGTTGTATTTGGGCAAACAAGGCCATGACAGCAGCAGAAGAGCTCTAGAATTTATTCATCAAACTTTTCAGATAGGGACCCCCAATAATAATGCAAAACCCTGCTCACAACACCCACGCTTAGAACTTAGAAGCTGAGGTACCTAACTTTCAAACCACAAAAGAAAATGATTATGTTGAAGAATCTCTCTGCTATGGCTCTCAAAACAGTTTGATTACATCACTAGTTTTAACGTGCTCGTATTTTTGGCCGTTGTGTTTTTATCTTTAGAACAACTTTTGCAAACAGAAAGGTGAAAATGACCATCCTGACCTCTGTTTTACACTTCCCCATCCACAAGATAAAATGCTTACAAATGTACAGTATAGGGGTGGGAACCTAAGGGTGCCTCACGATACAATATGATACGCGATACAAAGCTCACGATAACGATATATCACAATATGACGATTATCGATATATTGGTCAACAATATGCCAATATATGGCATACATAAAATAGAAAAATGTTAAGTGAAAAAATACTCTTTATTTCATGATAAATGGAATGGAGCTGTGTAATTTAGCCATATATTGAGTATTGATACAAAAAAAAAATTGATACTTGGCAAATGCATATTGATAATCGATCGTGGGAGAAAGTATCGCGACATATTGAAAAATCGATATATCGTCACACTCCTAGTACAGTATGCAATGCCATTAATAAGCCCAACGTCCCATATGATTTCACCCCCCTCTCTCTCTGTCTCTCTGTCTCTCTGTCTCTGTCTCTCTGTCTCTCTGTCGCTCTGTCTCTCTGTCTCTCTCGCTCTCGCTGTTCTTTCCCAACTCAAAAATTTGAACATTAAAACATAATCCTAACCAACCATAACAATATTGGTCATCTTAAAATATAATAAAACAACATTTCATGACTTCTTTAGTACTTATTAACTTTAACTATATTTATATTCTAATCAATTATGAATAAAAGCATATATATGATTCCCAATTACATTAAAACAGCTTGACTTCAAAAACATATTTTATTTATGTGTTATCTCCTCTAATTTATCCTAAAATAAGAACATAGTAAACATAAGCAATTGTAAAGTGTTTTGTGTGATCTTGTTCTGTAAAATCTGCTGTATAAAATAATTACTTTCTTACTTGTTACTTTCTTAATTGTATAGATTTTTTTGTTTTGTATAATTTGACTTTACTAACAATTACTCCTCAATAAATGAAGTATAACTGCATAATTAGTGTATTTTTAAAATGTTTGAAAATAAAATATTGTATCGAATCATAACGAATTGGAAGTTCCTTGTCCCTAAAGACGTAGGGATACATAAGATATGTATTGGCCGGGTCTGAGAGATACCCAGTCATACTAAATACAAGATGTAAAAATCATCCACCCCCATGTTTGCACCCTCTGATCTAAATCACCCAGTACTAATCACAGCCACACGTGAACTCCAAAATGCCATGTGAGGATAATTATAGCTGCCTGTTTGTTAGAGTCTGTAAATGTTGCTCTACTTTGTGGCCACTGAGCCAGAGGTGTGACTTTCTGACCGGAGCGCTGAACGGGCCGGTCACTGCGGATGACTCATTAAGCAGCAGACTCTGGGACTTGGTGGGCAACCGTGATGTGAACCGCACCGACAGAGCAACTTTGCACACGCTTCTCCTCATAAACCTTTTTAAACGGATTAGCAATGCCACCGCAGGGCTTTCCCAGACTTTAGTGCTTATCACAAACATGCACTGAAACAAAACATACTATTTTTATCAGGTTGGGTAAAAGTGAGTTTGGAAGAAGTGGCTCTGATGTCCAAAACAAGAGCAGAGTCGAATCGTTCTCAAGACAAAGGATAGGAAATAGCTTTTGCTTAGGGGACTATGGAGAGCTGGTTGGTATTCAGTGCACCTGCTGTAGAGCATCAGAAGCAGATGTTTCCTATAGTTTCTCAGTTTGATGCTGGGTACAATTGGCAGCTGGTCAGAGCAAACAGAGCCAGTAGAATTAGGTCCAGAGCTTTGAATTCACACACGCATGTAGGAGGATAAACAGGCCTTGCTCTGCCTGTTATCTCACTGTGATTCGTGTTTGCTGTGCAGGTCGCGGCTGGTGGATTTTTACGTCAACTGCGCCGAGATTCAGCACACGGTCAGCAACTGCCCCAACCAGGGCAACCACCAAGCCTGCCTGGCCTCCTATACACGCCTCATAGGTTGGTTTGTAATTGCACTGTGTTTTAAAGACAGAATATAACTGTTAATATTGCAGTATTTTTTGTATTTTTTGTGAAAGATTGTGTGCTGCATTTGTTGCTGTTTTTTTCCATCTGTTCTGAGCATTACTATCATAGACTGTATACAAATGGACAATACTGACAGGCCAGCTCAATGAAGCCCAATAGGGACGAAGTTTAGATTCAACTCGCTCCGGCTCCTATTGACCAACACTGAAAAGTAAACTCCTCTAGCTTGTTTGTGTCACACTCACCAGTTTGGGATTAAAAAATTCAGTGGTTTAGCGCGCAGTATGATCCTGCTGTTTATGTTTGGTATTGTCTTTGTAAATCCAGATATGAGCCATACAAGACTTGGCCAGACTCTTAAGCCTAGACTAACTCCAACTAGGCTTAGACACCATCATAGCAGCATGTATGTCGCAAACGTTGCCCATAAAAGGAAAATGGCTCCAGCTTGCTTATAATTTTTTGTGCATTTGGTAAAACATCACATTATTGTCAAGAAAAATAGGACAACAAACCAAACAAAACATGCACTACATTTCTGTTGTATTTGGGCAAAAAGGCCATGACAGCAGCAGAAGAGCTCTACAATTTATTCATCAAACTTTTCAGATAGGGACCCCCAATAATAATGCAAAACCCTGCTCACAACACCCATGCTTAGAACTTAGAAGCTGAGGTACCTAACTTTCAAACCACAAAAGAAAATGGGTGGTCAGTCCAGTATAATTTACGATCTATGATTATTACTTGTATGCATGACTGTTTGCACAGAATTAAATTGAGAAATGTCAAATGAGAAATGTCGTGCATTGAGGTATTCCAACTTCCCCCTACTCCCTTCAATCAACTACTTTTCAATCAATCCATTTTATCCACTTCTGTGTTGTGTCCATAATGGATCGAGATGACCAATCAAACAATGTGTTGAAGTCTATGTTAACATGCTAGAACTTATTCAGCATTCAAAGATTGATGATGTTTTAATGCAGTAAACTTATGGTGAAATCATTCTATTCCTGCCTAAATCAGGTGTTTTTCTTAAATTAATTAATTCCATCTTAAAATACTGCACACAGACACACGGTTATTTTGAGGCTGTAATTGAACTGGTGATAGCCATCTGAGAGTAAAATTTATAAGAGGTTTAGGAATAGTTAACCCAGGATTATTACACATAATGCTAATATCAAAGCAAAACAGGTTGACAGGTGGAGCAGCATCAGTCCAAGTCAGGATCTTCACAAGCCTTTGGACATCACATGAAAGTCTGCTCCGGGTCGGCCCACTGTCAGAGGATCAAATGCAAAGGGTAGTGTCAGAAAAAGACATCTGATATAAAATAATGATGATGGTTTGCTGATAAAATGTAAGCAAATATTCAAATAAAAACCGAGTAAATGTTGATTGACTGTAGAAAGGTGCAGATGGTTGCTTTGGTTACGCTGAGGACAAATGCCGATTTATTTACATAAGAGATTACTTGATGGCACAAATGGGAAAGCAATAATAAATGCAGTCTGTTCGTCATGTGGGCAAATTGAAATGAACCCAAAGTGCAGAATTGCAAAAATAATGGCTTTAATAAAATGTAAAACAAAATCCAGAGTAAACACAAGAAGTATCTAAACAGGGATTGAGGACAAGAACTAAACCAGACGTGGCGTGACAATGACGGAACAGGGTTTAAATACAAGACTAACGAGGGTGGGGCAGGTAATTAGAAACAGGAAGTAGAATTAAAGATACAGGGATAGCAAATTACAAAATAAAACAGGAAATCAACCTAAACCATGACACTGTTCTCGTACATTAGTGACTGTTTTTCTGTCCGACAGGGACCGAGATGACTCCAAACTACGTGGACAGCAGCTTCTCAAACTGGACCGTGTCGCCGAACTGCACGTGCGACGGAAGTGGGAACCAGGAGGAGGACTGCCTGAAGATCCTGCGCTCCTTCACTGAGAACGCCTGTCTAAGTGAGCTATCTTTATAAACCAGTGGAAATGCAGAGAAGGGAGAAACTGATAGTGGTCCAGGGTCATGTGCTATTGATGAACACACAGCACTGTCCAGCCGTTACTCTTGCTGTCGTGTAAAAATATGTAGCATTGATTTGATGTTACTTGAATGATTTTCTGTCTTGGCGTGTTGTTATAGGAAATAGATGATATGGTGCGGCCATTGGAAACTGAGAGTGAGGGCCTGACATGTTCTTGTGCATTCAGACTGTTATCAAACCAGGATGTCCCTTAGGATTCTATGATACATTTATGCACATGTGAGCGACATGTCAGCCAGGTATTAATAGTATGCGTTCTGTGGAGAGTGTAGAAATGGATGAGGTTGATTATTTATTGTCAATTCATCCAATCCATTGTATCTATATAGCACATTTTATAAAACAAGTTTCCGAAGACTAAGTCACTCATTTAAAAAGTCTGCCAGCTTTATTGTTATAAAACAATAGAAGTAAGAAAAAATATGAATATACAAAAAACTATTAAAATAGAAAAACACTATGAAATAACAAAATAAAGTAAAATCTCGCCCCACACAACTCACGCTGTGTTAAAAGCCAAAGAGTAAACGTTTGTCTGAAGGCAGAACTTAAAACCTTCCAGCGAAAGAGCTGTTTTCAAGTGAACAGGGCAATGTTCTAAAGCTTTGTTCCAATTCATGTTTTTCATTTTGGTTATTTTCATATTTGAATTAACAAAAAATAAAGCAAGATTGTTATTATCTAATTGTGCAGGATTGAACACATATCAATGGGAAAACAACCTAACAACCTCAGAATTTTTACTTTTATACCTCAGTATTCTTGATTTTAAGAAAAACAATGTAATTGTGGCCACAGTAGCTATCACCAGAAGTGCAGTGACTTAATAATGACTATGACATAAAACATTTCCCACATTAATTCTTATTTATTTTTAAGACGATGTTTTAGGAATAACAACAGCTCCAATTCTGGATTATCAAGTATCAAACCAGAATTAACGTTTTGGTCAAAATGTTTTGGTGCTACTCTGCAAAGAACCCTATGATTAAAGTTCAAGACCTCTGAAAAATCAACTTACAAGATTCAAGAATGTATTTGCCATTTGCAGTAAAACCACATTGAAAAACTGTGCAAGACTGCCCCAGTGTGTACCAGACAGAGAAGAGGGTACACACCAGTGCTCCTGCCACGAACAGTATTTGTAGGAATTGAATACAAAATCTAAAGTACATCATGCACCTTCTGCATATTTAGAATAAAACTAATTATAGTTTTCATCCTTGTTAGTTCTACTCTCAGAGGTTGCTGGTCTGAAGTTGCAAAATACCAGAATCGCAATCTTGTTTTTGCTTCTGTCGCTCCTATCTACTTGTGCTTCTGTTGCTGTAATCTCTCCTTGTATTTTGTCAGTCAATAAAAACCTAAAAGCTCTGATGATATCCATGCAGTGCCCTATTCTAATTGATGCCAAAGAAGGCCTGTGCATTTGAATGATTGTGATTCTGTGTATGACGGCGACACGGGGAAATATACGGCCTGCTCTGGTTGACTGCAGTACACGGAGATGCTGCATTTTGTGTTATTTTTCAGGACGCCTCCTCAGCTCCCCGCCTCATCCTTCAAAGTGCACACTCAGCTAAAACCCACACCCCGGCAATCTATTGAAATGGTCTGAAAGCATTATCCACACAATAGAACATGTTAAGGCAACAGTGTCGTGGAGGTTTGATGACACCGCTGTGCTCCATCCTCAGCAAGTGCAATGAGTGAAATCGCATCCAGCTACTTTGTCATACTGCAGTAGCCTGTGTACTACCCATAAACGACCAAGGATATATTTTTTAGCTTTCTACACCATTCCATTTGGATGAAATTGGCTCTCTTTTATGACATTTTCCTCCACAAGGCATAAGCCCTTTAACTCCTGTAGATTGAAAAGGAAATTCGAATGCAAATGGTTTCTTTTGTATTAAAGCCGCGCCCAAGGGAGGGATGGTGAAGTGATAACCCATTACATGTTTCTCTGCGCCTAAGAACATCTCATTCCAACTAAATCAGTGTCCGTGGATCACTCAGAGCAAAATATAGCAGGGAAACTTCTACTGGAAATTTGTGACATCTCTTTGCTTGTAAATCAACTGAACTTGCGGCCTTAATATGGAGAAAGTTGCAAAGTAGAGTGCCTTTTTATAGCATGTAGCGCAGAGCAATGAGAATCCATTTTCAAGACATAAGAATGTTTAATATTATTATTTTCTTTGGCCATTCTGGCAATATCCAGAAAACGGACTAAGTTAAAAAACTCACTTTCTGTGTTGTTTTCATTTTGAATATATACAGTATCTAGGTGATTTTTGCCAGAGCAGAGGAGTTTCAAGGGATCTCGTAACTTGGCCTTAAAACCCTACTTTGTAACTGTAATTGCACATAAAATATCTATCAAACATACAATATAATCACATGTATTTCCATTGTATGCATGTGCTATTAAATGCATCTGCCAGCCTGGGCCCAATAGGATCCGGTTTAAACAGTTTTCAGATACAGCTCATTCAATCTAAATAAATTGTCGGCGAAGGACATATTTTTCACTAGTGCTTTGTAAACACACTTTTTTCTTGTTTGCATGGTACAATGACTTACATTTGTGAATAAAAAAAAAAACTACTGCATATTTTATCATATTGGCCCACTGGTCGGAGGGCTGCAGTCCTGGACCATATTGTGTGGACATACCAGTCATGTAGGTGTAAAGTATTCCACCGAGACCCACGGCGATAGAGAATTAATAATAAATATGAAGCAAATAATGAGCTTCTACATTTGCGAATATTTCTCTTTACATTTATGTAATGGATTATCCGTCCAAGGCTCCGGTTTCGCCGTCTTCAGTGCAAAAAGTTATTAGTCGCCATTGTGTTTGTCTGTTTGAATTGGTGATAGAAATGCCATCTCTCATTTGTTTGGGAATATTTCGTATTTGATCATTCACATGAATCTAAATTCAAAGTCAACGCTGCATACCGACCTATAATGGATGTTCGTTGCCAGGCAATTACATGGGCTGTCTTCTCTGTGGCTGAACAAAAAGGGACAAGGCTTGTGTTTTAAAGGATGAACGGTAAATGGTACTCAGGCCCTGTTTGAGTACATCGAGCTGGAAAGCCCAGTGAGCAGTATTTATCACATTCTGCAGATGCTGGCCCAAGAGAAAACATGAAACAGGATAAAGATGCCCACTGTCCAAGCCTGAGTGAACCTTGTAAACCTGAACACCCTAAATAATGTTTCATGGAGGTATTCTGTTTTTTGTTGGGGGTTTTTTGCGCATTGCCAGCTCTTTGACATATCAAAGAGTACAAATACTGGCCGATGACTTTCATTTTCATTTCCTATTGACAATTACTCACTAACTTGGGGTACCTTCCTTACAAACCACAAAAAAATAGAACCATATCATAGAATCCATTTATCTCGTTCCTCGCTCTAAAACGAAAAACGTTGGTTCTATTGTTTGCTCTATATTTTTCAGAAAGAGAGAGAATATTGAGAGTCAAGTACGTCTTACAAATATGCAAATTATAAGGATGTTGGGTTTGATTTGTTCACAGCATTTTTCTTCTCCAAGACTTTCTCTATTGGGACAAACAAACGGTGTTATTAAGAGAACAAAAAAGTTAGATACCCCAGCTTTAATTCTTGAATCAAAAGCAGGGATTCTCAAAATGTTCTCTCAGAAACACCCAAAATATGCACAAAAACGTTAAGCAGTATTGAAGTGTAGCATTTTAGTTCAAATAAATTACCTCTGTTGCACTAAATAATCTGTTTAATACCGTGCAAAGCTGTTATCTTTAAATCATCTGGCACCCCCCACTTTGAGAACCACTGATTTAGAATAATCCAACAACAATTACAAATGTGACCACAGGATACATGTCTTTTAGTGAAGCTCGTGTGTGGCCGGAAATGAATTAAATATGTGAGTTGCAGACAGCCAACTACTGTTTTGAATTGAAATTGTGCACAGTTTGTCTCTACAGGTGTCTCCAGGAATTTTAATGACTGGTTTAATTAAAAAACATAAACACATTATCGAACTGTGAAAGCATCAGTGTCTAAATAACAAACGCTTGTACTCGGAGACAACTTTGAAGTTTATTCCTTGGCCAAACATCAAGTTTCAGATTTATGCTGTTGATTAGTCTGCATTACTTTTGCTCTCGCCGATGAATCTCAAAGACTTTTTTCAGCTCCACACCCATCTCTTATTCCCGCGGCTGCCAGAACTTGGGCAAAACACCAAGGAGTTGACTTAAAGCTGTCTCGCTGCTCACTGGCTTAGTGTAGGAGAGATTGGATCCAAAAACAAATGACTTCCTGTTTGCGTCCCCACAGAGAACGCCATCCAGGCCTTCGGCTACGGCATCGAGACCACGGCCAGCAAGAGCACGTCTGTCCCGGGACCCCAGGTGACGGTGATGAGGTCAGAGCTGCCGGTGACACAACGGACTGACAGCTACATCAACAAGGTGAAGACACATTGATATATTAAGATTCATTATGAGATCCTTTTCTTTGTGCCACAGTGGGGAAGTTTCAGTGTTGCAGCAGTTACAGAACAGTAGGAATGAATAGCACACAGATAAATGTCAATGTCAATGTCGACTTTATTTGTATAGCACATACACAACAACACCAGCTGCTCAAAGTGCTTCACAGGCATGAAAGATAAAAAACAAACGAAAAAAGCACAAAATACATACATACGTGAAAGTAAAATAGGTTTTCAGACGTTACTGATCTGACAAGAGCATACAGAGATAACAGCTCTGACAGATAAAAAGGTCCAAACCATTCAAACACTTAAAAACAATCATCAGAATCTTAAAATTAACCCCGAATGTAACAGGGAGCCAGTAAAGTGAGGCCAGCACAGGGGTGATGTGCTCTCTCTTACGTGTCCCTGTGAGTAAGCGAGCAGCAGCATTCTGCACCCGCTGAAGGCGCTTTATTGAGCTGAGGTCCAGACCACAGTACAACAAGCTGCAGTAGTCTAATCTAGATTAAATAAAAAGGCAATAACTAAACTAAAAAACTAACTAAATAGAATGGAATGCAAATCTCTGACTCTAGCATGAAGAAGAACCCAAAATATTATTTATTTCAACCATTATTCATATTTGGGTGCAAAGAGAAAAAAGCTATAACAGCTGAAATAGTGGACATGGAGTACTTTTAAACCAACAAGAAATGTTAACAAAAATGTAGTTTCTTTAGTATTCTATTATTTTTATTTATTTTATTTTGCTGTTTTATCTTTTCTTTTTACTTACGGCAATAGTGATGATTTCTGATAGAGAAGGAGAAAGCATGACTCGTTCGCAACATTTTACTTTTGCTAAGACTCTGTTGGGACAAACAAAATATTTATCTGTGTTTTACAAGGACATTGCATAGTTATTGCTTGCACCTGACATCTCTGGATGGCCTTTTGCCTCACTCACTCATGCCCTAACACACGGCTTACAAATGGGTACAGCTTTTGTTCATAGTTTACAGTTTGCTGGACAAGGCCAACACTCCAACAGACAATCTGCCCTGAGGGACTTTACCGTTTTGGTTTAAGCAGCCTCTCGTTTCCCAGCTGCTATGGATAAGTGGTTCTGGAGCAAAGTTATAAATGCATTTCAAAATAATTGGAGAAAAGAAACATTAAACACATAACAGAAAAATGCTGACTCCAATACCTGAGGGAATATAATCCGTTGCATGGATTGAATTGCACGCATACATGCTAAACGCAGGTGAAAAGATTTATCCCCCAAATATTGAATCAATTACAGTAATGTGGGGATTTGTAATTAGCAAGGTCAGGCAGTAATTCCAATTCCCTCAGCAGTGTTTCATATTAAAGTCCCATTATTATCCGCAAAAATGAATATTGTTGTAAAGTCTGATTGAAAGAGGCAGATTACTGTCCATTTTACCATTAGTGCAAGACATTTTGGCCTGTTTGACCATTCAGAAATATCATTCCTTCTCCAAGAAAAGGTTTCCCTATAATCCTGGATGGTGATTTCTGTGAGAAAGCTAGAAGCACACAAGCTGGGCACAAATGGGACACAAATCTGGACCATGAGTTCTGAGAAGTGAAGCTTCTATAGGACGATTTGCACACAGAAGACGATTCGTGTTAGAAAGGGAGCATTCTCTAAAGCCAGACGTAATCACATACAAATGTTTTCAATGCTAGCGCAGCAGGTGCCCTTGCTCTGTGTGGTGGATGCAAAAACAGTTTCATTGCTTTTACCTGCTCAAGTGTCATTTAACTTGCTCTACTTTATGTGTTACAATATTTTACAAGCCTTTACAAGCTTCCACACTATTGAATTTTGTCACAGCCTTTTCATGTTTATTTTCCCCGGTCAATCTATGTTCCCACCTGCAACTATGGTCATGAGCTTTGGGTAATGACTGAAAGGACAAGATTGATAGAAGCAGTCGGTATGAGTTTTCTCCGCAGAGTGGCTGGATGCTCACTTAGAGATAGGGTGACGACCTCAGTCACATCAGAGGAGCTCAGAGTAGAGCTGCTGCTTCTCTTCATCGAGAAGAGACCCCGTGGAAGACCCAGGACACGTTGTAGATACGATGTCTCTCAGCTGGCCTGGGAACGCCTCTGGATTCCTCCGAATGAGCTGAAGGAAGTGTCTGTGGATGAGGAGTGTCTCTGCTCAGACTGCTGCCACCATGACTTGGAAATGGATAAAACCTATTCAGTGAATTTGGGCTGAGAGCTTTGAAATCTCACTCAGATGTTGTTAACATGTGAAGGAATCATATTGAAGATTGTAATTTATTTATTTTTATTATTTAACTTTGCTATACTACTACACTATGATCAAGTACAAACCATCAAACTAAAGATTACTTTTGTGTCTTACTGTGTCTTATAGTTTTACTGCTATTTGGATCAACCAAATTAGGTGATCATGAAATGGTTTAGGAAAGAATAATAGAGCACTTTGTTATCCTGGTCTGAGCAAAAAAATGCTGTATAAAAAGACGACTTACTTACAGCATTACACCAAATATTCATTATGTAATGTAGGTCAGCAGATTAAAAACATACTTAACCCATGAATTTTAAAATCTCATTCAGAAATTGAATGTGTTTGATAGAGAAAGGATTTTGTAAAAAGATTTACTCCAAAACATTGCGGCTTTCACATTTGTATTACGTTCAATCTTTCTGCTTCGTAATTGGCAAATCAGGCTCAATGCTTCACATTACCGCAGTTTATGCTACACCCAAGATGATGACATTTGGATGAAATCTTTATATATAAATATTTCCTTAGCTCCACAATGGAATGATGCATAAACGAAGAAGGTGGGGGCTTAATCTGGATTAGAGCTGCTAAAATTCTGGCCCAGGGCTTGTACTCTGCTGCAGACTGTAGAAGTCACCTCTGACTGCTGGTTCACTGTCTGACGGAGAGAAACTCATTTTTATGCAGCACCTATTTGTCTTCTAATAGTGTCCTACTTCATTTTCTGTTCAAATAAAAGCGATGATGACCAGAACAAATCATCTGCCGAAGAAGTCTGTGGTATCTTCCCACACACAACATTTTAGCTTTCACTGAAGAAAGAAGGACAATTTCCCATTCTTGTCTTTTAAATGAGCTTTTGAGCTGCGAGTTTTCACAATGAAAAATTGTGGAGTTTTTCAAATGTATTTTAGATGTGCAATGCAGCTCTCGGGGAAAGACTAATGATGTTTTTCACCTTAGCACCGCTGACACTAAAGCTTGAACTCGAACTGAAACATATTTTTCACTTTTCATCAGTACTTTTGTAAATATAAAACTATTACAAATCAAGACCATGTTTAGGATCAAACGCCTGGGATTGGTTGGTAAAATGTCTTTGAGGACGTTAAAGCTGTATATTTTTCTTTTAAATGTAAACTGCACTGTTATATACTATAGAGATATTCATGTTTTTAGTCCTCAATGACAAATGAAACGACTGGCCTCCATTAAGATGTTTGTTTTGGGTTGTTCCAGGGGTTTGTGTCGTCTTTAAATGGTCAGAGTGCAGCAGAGTCATGCATTGTCCTTGACTTACTGGATCTCATTGTTGTGAAGACAGCAAATTAAAACCTGAGAAATATGTGACGAGGAGAATTAATGGACGAACAGGCCTGATAACAATAACAGTGTGTATGCAGGGGAAAGGTGGGGGACGCAGGGGGAATGGCTCAGTGTGTGTGTGTGTGTACGTGCCCGTGAGTGTGCGTGTGTGTGAGGTATTGATGCACTCTCTGGCACTGCCGCTGTGTTTAATTTATTGTAAAAATGGTAATTAGGAAACAATAAGACGTGTGATTACTCAAGCAGGAACTTTATAATTAGGGAGGAAGCTGCAAGGGACATTTTGGGCAGACCGGCATCTTTAGACAAGTATGTGCTGGCAATTAAAAATTGTCAAACTTCCATGACAGATAAACTGGGGGAAAGCTGTTGTGGTGACCTGGCTGTAACAACATCTGTATCAACAAGTCTAAACATAGACACAGAAGGCTTGACTTCATTTAGGTATTGCATTGCTTCTATTTAACTGTATATTTTTTATTATATGTATGTCAGTCATAGTGTCAGACCTCAAGTGTTTTTTGGGATGAAAAATAATGATTCTAGAAATCATAATTCTCCTTAACATTTCAATTGATACAAACATGAGTCTACCATGAAAAACATGGGGAAGCAGTCATTGCTTGTCATTGCCACATTTTGGATAACACTGCAGAGACAGTGAAAGCATAACTTTTAAAAAAGTGTTTTCTCCCTCATTAGTGCTTACACTGTGCATGCACTATAGGTGTATGCTATAATTAATGTAAATAATTCAGAATAAATCAAAGTGGAACCACATGAGACGCAGAATCAGATGAGTGACTACTGCTGCATGGGATTAAGTCTTTCCATGTCACTCCTATACTTTTGAATTCCTCTTTCAGTGTTTCCGCTAAGTAGATGCATAATTATTCCACATGTCTTTTCAGCTGCTTTACGCTGCTGAATGAGCGCTGGTCCTTTGAGTATTTCCACTATGCACGCAGTATACAGGACTGTATATTCTGTTGATGGGAGGAAACTGTAAATGTCTTGTTTGTATTCCCCGTGCTGGCGTGGGCTTCGATGAGATAAAATGGATTTTCTCTGGCCCCTGAAGTGAATTTTAATATCCCCCAACATTCATTCACAACACATTTCTCTTACAATTGCATAAACTGTCGATGTGTTAATTTAGTAAGACAGGACTTTCCCTGTTACATTTCAAGTCATTTGTTCATTTTACGCTTGGTTGGATAAGATTGCCTACGTAACTCAGGATAACTCGATAACTTGGGGGGGAAAAGGCTGCAATGCAATTGTACTGTAAATAGACCAACAGCGGTCGATAGCAAAAACAATTGGTTTCGTAACAATCTGTGTTGTACACGTAGTTACACACTGTTTCCTCGGGTGAGTGAATGGTTCCAGATCATCAAGGCATTTCCACCGTCTCTGTCCTGGTCACGGTTTATGAACTGGACTTCAGCAGATCTCAAACCTGCAAGTGCATGTGTGTGTGTGTGTGTGCGTGTGTATGTGTGTGCGTGTGCATGTGTGTGTGCGTGTGTGTGTGTGTGTGTGCATGTATGTGTGTGTGTGTGTGTGTGCGTGTGCATGTGTGTGTGCAAGTGTGTGTGTGTGTGTGTGTGTGTGTGTGTGTGTGTGTGTATGTGTGTGTGTGTGTGGAGAAGCTGCAAGAGGCGATCTGGACTCATGTCAACAGGCGCCTGCTGCACATCACTGCTCCTGCTAATTAATTGGCTTTTAGTGGAGGATGTCTTTTGTGCATTGTCAGTCTAGCTATGGCTTCAATGCCTCGGCTTCTGGCAACTATCTCTTAACCATTTATTTGGAAACACTAATTATATGGTGACTGGTAGAATATTTTTGCTTTATCACTGCTTAAAAAAAAGAAATGCTTTTAAAATTGTGGAAAATGTAATTGATATAAAAAAAACACAGGGTGAAGTCTTGTGATGTTTGAATAATAAATTAGGCAAAAAGAAGCAATAACAAATTTTCAGGGTTTTTACTACCCTGAGTAGTAGTAGTAGTAGTAGTAGTAAAATACCCAGTTTTTACTGTGTTCTATATTCTTTATGTATTTTAACTGTTGATTCTCTGATCTGTGTTGGTGATTTGAATGGTTTTGTTAAGTCCTCTGCGATGACTTCTGTTGTGATTTAGGGCTATACAAGAATAAATTGTATTTTATTGTATTGTATTTTAATACACGTTTTACAGAAATTGTGTTTTACCGCTAAAGCTGGGGTACCTAACTTTGAAACCCCAAAAAACATGTACTGTATATTATAGCTATGTAATAAAATATATAGTAACGGTTTAGTTCAATCACATGTATGTACAAGATAAGTTTGGTTTGTTGGCTAAACGATGCTTAAATAAGACTCGTTCTGATGCGACAAGCAAAATGTATTTATAAAATTTGCTTTAACTATGGCATAAGTAAACTCATGTCAGCCATGTCAATAAAGATCAAATCACATTGAGACGAGAAGTCGTGTTGCCATGTATGACATGAATAGTCAGTGGTCTCTCTGCGTCATGGGTTGAGAATCGTCAAAGCAACAAGAGGAATATGTGTCATGACCCTTCAGATTTGCTTTGAACACGCAGCACTTGTAAATAGAGGAAGACTGGGAGGCAGACGAGTCCTGCTCCTGTGTCAGAAATACAAGGGGATTGAAAGAAATCCTCACAGTTTCATGTAAAAGCATGTAATGTGTTCATTGTAGTCAGGAAATAAAATGAGTGGCTGGAGGCAGCGCAGTTAAGTGTTTCATTTTGGACTTGTATATTAAGGTAAACACTGCGGCGCTTTGATCTATTGTTCTCAGTCAAACACTGGTCTTACTTGTTGGAGGTCTGTTCTATCAGAAATTCATGCTTTATAAAAAATTGAACAAAATCCACAATTACTGTTGCCTTCACCAGTAAGTGTTTGGCTTTGTAGACTGTTTTCCTTGTAAATAAACGCTGTGATGATGATAGCTTTAAAACTGTTTAAAGGCATGCTGGCACTGGTAAAAAAAGAAAAGGAAAATATCGCAAGAATTCTTTGGTGCGTGCTGGTACTGTATAAGGAGCACAGAACAAGGCAGCATGGATCCGGACTATGGACTTTTGGAGGATCAAATACTTATTAGTGGGTCTGCTAGAAAAAGAATGCAACAATGTTGCCGTATTGCTTCCACATTTCTGTTCACTTTTCTTAATCCTTCATGAACTTGGTTAAAAGTAAATTCTTTCAAAAAATATCTATTCCCACAACCAAGTGGGAAAGGGACCTCACAATTGCTCTCAATGTCGACTCCTGGCATCAAATCTGTAAAAATATTTACTTTATGACGAAAAATGCCAATCTCCAATTAATACAATACAAGACATTACACCGAACTCACTACACAGGGGAAAGATTAGCAAAAATGGGATTCACTTCAGATATCTGTCCACACTGCACTCAAAAATGTACTGACACATACATTCATGCCACTTGGTATTGCACCCTCATCAAACACTTTTGGGAAGAGGTTATACTGTCCTCCTGGCTGGACTGCCACGTCCCATTATCCCCCTCCCTCTGCCTGCTAGGGGACCTCACCATACTCAACAATAAAACAATAAACAACCAACTAGTTCTCGTATAGCTCTAACCATTGCCAAGAAAACTATTGTATCTTTATGAACTGGAAAAGCCAAAATATCATCCATATCAACCAATGGAAAAATCTATTAACAGACTTCATTGCAATGGAATATACACCACCCTCTCACAGTTACTCAGCAGAAACACAACCCCATAAACCAACACTCTCAGACCTCGCGTTACTTTAAATCTTTCAACTTTATTCTCTATCTCGTCCCTAACTCTCTGCGACTCTCCCTAACTTTCCTCTCCAATGTCAGTGAGCCAACTCCTTTTACCCACACCCCACCACTATCCAATCCCCCCACTCCACCTCAAACACGCGCACACACACACACACGCACACACACGCACGCATACACGTACTGCATTATTATTGTTATTCCCATTATTATTGTTATTATTATTAGTGTTATATTATTATTACTATTTATATTATTATTTTCATCATTGTTTGTTATTATGTACATGCACGTACATACATAATCTTTATTTATCTTTCCTTGATATTTGTTTATTTTGAGTTTATTTTAATTTTAATATATCTCACAGAAGGGAGAAACACGGGCATCATTCATTGCACATTTTCAGTTATAATTATCAACGAAGCCACTCACATCAAACACAAAAAAAACAAAAAAACAAACACGCCGACCTTCACTCTCCATCACTATCCAAACACATTACTTACATACATTTTAATCTTCTATCATATGTTGCTTATATCTCACACTCTCATTCTTCCTGATTTTCTATCTATCTGTTTAATAAACCTATCCTCGCTGTCATCACCACCAACACCGGTCATCAACTCATTTCATCACAGCCCTGATCCCAGCCACCGCCACCCTTTGTGTTTTTAATGCACTACAATCTAAATAAATAGAAACTTAAAAAGGGAAAAATAAATAAACATAGGCACACATGGCAAAGGATTCAGGACACATGAGGAGAACTTGAAGCAGTACCCCTGCTCCAACACGGCAATCATGTCCTTTTTAATGCATCTTAGACACTCACTCTCACACACACACACACACACACACACACACACACACACACACACACACACACACACACACACACACACACACACACACACACACACACACACACACACACACACACACACACACACACACACAAGCCATAGACAGCAGATAACAGGCAAAGAAGACGGAGGCTGGAGTATCTCGCAACTCATAAAACATAAATTTAAGTCGGATTAAATAAGGTTGGTGTTGATTTTCTTTTTCTTTTTCTTTTCTTCTTCTCTTTCTCTAACACGCACACACACACACACACACCTCTCCCTCCCATATGGTAATGTTTCATGTTGTCTCAATATTTGTATTTCTTTGTATGTCCCCATGTTTTGTCGCTGCTTCAATGTTTTTCTATTGTTGTACCAATCATTTTCACTTCGGTATGTCCATGTGTCACTTTTGTATGTCTTTGTATGACTTTAAAAAAAAAAAAAAACATTCTTTCATTATTTTTCATATTCTCCTATATTTTAAGGAGACAAAAATAACAACATTGTCTTTTTGAGCATTTAACCAGGTACAACACTATTCTCTCGTCAAAAATAGACTTTGAGATTTTACACTAATATCTACACTAATATCATACATTCATGTCTGCAATTTCTTAAGAGAAATTACATTGTTTGCAATCACATATGGCTGAGGTTGCAACCAGTATTTTTCAAAATGTGAAAACACTTCTTCTGGGGTAGCATAGGGATAGAGAGTCCATAATATTTACTCTTCTTTCACCACATATGTTCTACCTATGATATTATTTAACATTCTAAAACATGAAATGGTAAATAGTCTCATTATATTTCTAATGGCCAAAAATGGTGCATAATATTTCTTCTTTAAGTGCATTGCGCTTAAACATTTTTGCATTATTCATCCACTATAAACTCAGCACAACTGGGTAGTTAAAAGAAAGATTCTTGTGATTATCACCCACACAAAGCACAAGCCCTTGCACTCATTAATTAATCTACAATGCTTTTTCTTTCATAATTTCTAGAAAGATGATACCTATTTTAGGCCTCATGAGCTCTACATCATAGAGAGCTTGACCATTCCCAGTCAGCTGTTGTTTTCTATCTGAACATTTAGACTGAATGCATGCACTGTTGCCAGCTCCGTTTGTCATTTCTCCAGGTCTGATGCCCGGCCTCACCTCCTCTCTCTCTGTAAATGTCACACGAGGAGAGTCTGATTCATGTCTAACCTTTACACGTCTTTGTGCCCCTGCAGTTCCCCGAGTCCAGCCATGACCCTCTGGAGCGCCCCCTCCTGGCAGAGGATGGAGGGTCCAGTCTTCATGCTGGTGCCTGGCTGGTTCTTTTGGCTCCGCTCCTGTCCCATCACGCCTTATAGAAGCACCAGGGGAGAGAGCGATCCAGGTTGTCCACCCACCAGCTGATCCCGAGAGCAGAAGGTGTGATTTCTATCGAGAGCTAAATGACATGGTGGAGGATAAAAAACAAGGATTGCACTTAAAAAAGAAAAAAAAAATCCACTGCAAAATATCGGGAGACTTTGTGTTGTCTATTTAATATTTTGTGAAGGCGGAACCAAACTGTCTTAGAGCTTTATGAGAAGAGACACTCGGATACCCTTGCTTCTGTTGCCGGACTAAAGTCGAAAATGTCAAAAACTACTGTGCACCAAAGGAGAAGACAGAATATATATATTGTATAATATAAGTTGTTGCAAAAATACAACGAGCGACGTCAATTGAGACAACGCCGGCCGAGAAAGACGCTTATTCGTGACTTTTTTTGTTCTGTTTTGCTTTGAATCTTGATCAATCAGAGGACGGCAACAGGGGTGTGATGACGTCATTGTGTAAACTTGAAGCTGTTCTCAACTTGCGTGTCATGTGTGTCGCTGTAGTAACTGTGACTACATTCCATGCATTTGCTTCTGTAGCCGACTTTGACTAAATCTTAAACGTGTTGTTGAGAGGTCAGCGGCCACTATGTATAAATATGTATATCTTTCTTTCCGTCCTTAACCAAGAAATAATCACAGAAAACGGACATTACCTGTACTGAGTGTATTCGGTACCCACACGCAACTTCTATCTATGTCTATGAGATGGTTCGGCCATTACTAATGTAAACACGGACATGACAAAAACAATCTCTTGAAGCTGCTTGGAAAGCCATAAACCGTGTATGACCATCGTAACGTGTTTTCATGTGTTGAACGAGACATTTATATGAAGGAAAATGGCCAGTATTAGAATGATTGGAATACACATGTCATGAAGTAATGGCACTTCTCTGTAGCCCTCGGTTGAATATAATGGAAATTAAGTATTTAAAAGAAAAAAAATGAATCTAACATGTGTGTGTGTGAGTGTGCGTGTGTGCAATGTTGCATTATAACGGCAGTCGGGCACTCAGAATTAAATACTCTACAGCTTTCCTAAGTTGTATCCTGTGGTTCAACACGACGGCTCACATTTTGCTGTTGCCATGGTTAACAATAAAGCTGAGGGGTGTCAAAGACAGTCGAGAGATTATTCTACATTTTTTGATGAATTGAAGCCTGAACACTATTTTATGCTTTGAACATTTGGTGTATTCATTGTAATGACCCTGGCACAAAATTACACATATATTTTTCCTTCCGCTCGGTTTCGTCTGCAGTATGGAGGCCACACACGGATAGATAAACATCATTTTTAAGCAGCTGTTTTTACCTGAGTGGTGGGCTCAGATTTCCCACGACTGCATGGAGGAAATACATGCATTATACTGGAAGATTTAGGCTTTAGAACGAGTCTACAGTTGTAGCCGTTCCAAAGAAATCATTCGTCATTCGTCATTACGTTTTAACCATTATACATATACAAAAGATTACAGGAGTCATTTGAAAGTGCTTCTGTCATCGTAGTCATTCTGGTTTGCAAAATTATAACCCCATATTATAGCCTGGGTCAAGTGATTCATAAACATCATTTTGTCTGTGCTGACCCTGTTATATTATTTAAACAATAAGTAGATATGTTTGCAGTCGGACAATACAAGACATACCACATAAGTTCAAGCTACTGAGAAAAACAACCGCTAATTTGGCCTGCTCTGATTATCCTTCTGAAAAAAACACTTGTCAAACCGGCCGTGGACCACTGTGTTATGGTTACTGGGCGCACTCTATACAACGTGGTCGGATGTCGCATTTGGAAGGGATTAAAACAATTTTCCCCAATGGTAAGTTTACTATTTTAGTCTGATGAGAGGTCTCAGTTGTCAAACACTTGTGTGATTTATTTATCTTGTTTCGAGAAGGCCACTACACTCACCGTTTTTGAATACACATGTTTGTTTTTGTAGCCCAGTCTGGTAGGGCCTCAATTCTAAATGTCACACAACTCTATTTTGTTTGATAGAAAAAGGTTCTTTGCTTATCAAATATATCGTCAAATATCAGTTATGACATGCAAAGTATTAAATAATTTATCTGGAACCATTTCAAGGACTTCATCTTCTGCCATTTGAACTTTTTGTTTAACCAAATATCGTAAGAATTCTCAAGGTGCAAAATATGAGGGCTTTTTTTTTTTTTACATAAAATCCCAGGTGACCTCCTCTATACACACTCGGTTGGTGTGTTCAAACAACTCGTCTCGTAACAAAATACATATATATTTTGTAGCCAATTGCTTACATGTGAGTCAGGGAAGACGGTTAGAAACTACAGTCAAGTCACAGGTGGGACACAACTTTGCAAAAGCTTGGGCTCCTGTCCTTTCATTTTAACAAGTTATCCTGGTAAAAATATGTTTGAAAATCCACATCGAATGATAAGTTTGCCGTCTTCCATTATAATGATTATAATAATTCCCTGGGGTCCTGTGACTTTAGAAGAATCATTTTGCATGTTGGAAGTTTTATTTTAACCATTTTATTTCAGAATGTTCCTGTCTTCCCCATGATGAAAACACAAGTTAAAAAAAACCTGTCTGTGATGTGTAACATTTGTCCTATATCATAATAACAACACATTTCCTGATTCGGATTATTTCATTATTATATTGATTCTTGTAGCGTCTGTGAGTTTTTTTCCACTTCTCCTCCAACAACAAGGCTTACAGTAGATTCTCCAGGTTGGTGTCCCTATGCGTACACATAAGTTGGCTATTTGTATAATACCAGGTGCATTATTCATCTGTGCATGATGTCTACACACACTGAATGCTGAATCTCATTGTTTATCACACACTGTATGTTCCTGGCCAAGCCGCCGTTCTATCCAATGATGATGTATGGCATAGAGGAAAACCGCTACGAGGTATTAAATTCAAGGTTCAGAAATGCGGCTTTCTAAAGTAAATCTGAATACACAAATAATATTCTACTCCCCTGGAACACATACATGTAAAGGAACAAGAGAGGGGCGTCTTATCTCTCAGTAGCTTTTGCAAAAACACAAATTAATAATAAGAAATCATTTGAAATGCAGCAAGGTTGTCAATTTTCCAGAGCAGACTGTGAATCCATAAATGCAGCTCACAACAGAGACCAGACTTTATCAAAGGAAGACTCTTCTTCTTTTATATCATTCTTTTGTTTGAGTCCTAAGTTCTTATGTGGGACCCCGCTGCATAAAGCTGCAGTTATTTACAGTTATTTTTTGTAGTGACACCGTTATTAAGGTCAGTGACAGTGAAGGAGTAAAGTGAAGTGAATTCTGAAGCACCAATATGTGAAATACAGCATAATATGGAATTTAAAAAGTATGTCAGAAACTTGACTTTCACAATGATTCAGTAGTTGATTATCCTGGGTCTGATTCCTGGGAGAGTTTGCGTGTTCTCCCTGCATCCTGAGTGATCCAGATACTTCTATGAAAACGTTTATGATAGTTCAGGATAATTGAGTGTGAGTGAACTGATCACGTTGATATAGAAACAAGGCCAGGTACCAGTCACACACACGTTTATACACCAGTGTACACAGACACTGGGGCGAGGCGGGTCAGGTGACTTAGCAGCAATCACCAAGGGGAGCTGGTTTCAGTCCGTCCATCCTGTGGTCAGTCCATCTGACCGCTCAACCAATGTTTCATGAAGGAGCAGGATATGAGCGGCCAACATCTAGCTCAGAGGACACATGCCCAATACCAGCTGACCTACTGACAAACTGACAGTGTCACGACAAAGATAAATGAAGGAATAAAGAATCTCTTGGAAATGGACAATATGATACCAATAAGGTGCACCAATAATTAGTGATTATAGTGAAAACATTGTTAATTTATTAATACGTGTTTTTTTTTTTTGCTACGTTTTTTTTCTTTTTTCTTTCTAGACACATGCAGAAATAATGATTGATTACAGAAGTCAGACAAAGACAAAGATGGAATCAAAATAATTGTTAAAAATGTAGTAAAAGAGTAGGTTTAAAGCATAATTTTCCCCTTGCTGTTCTAAGATAACACAAATATCATTAACTGTAAGTATCTCCTGATTGACATGAGGTAAAATATTACTTCTGATACATAACTGTTTTACTTGATGAGGGATACCTTCAAAAACAGTTGTAGTTATTCGTTTCACCTGTGGACAAAGTATAGTGGTGATGACAGCCAAAACTGCAGCCTGTCTCGCCACTCTCCACCTAAAACACATTCATCTCCTTAAGTGACACTTTATATTATTGCGTATTTCTTCAAACAGACAAATTGTGAACTCTGAGCAGCAGCTTTCACAGTTCGCTTCATCAGAGAATTTAGAGCCAAAAGCGTCCGCTGGCTCATGTTTATACAGCTGTCACCTGAACAATGCTGTCTGTCCGTCCACGGCCCGCTGCCCATTAATCACACATCGATTTGGTCACTTTGTTGCTTACTTTTCAGAAAAAAGCATGACGTACTGCTGAGTGATTATACAGCCAGCCGTCCATAAAAGCAATCAAAACTGGCAAATAAATTTAGGCCTTTGACATGCAGGAAATGCAAATAAACTGATCAAAATTCTACTTTCTTCTACGCTGATGCCTGAGTGATAAAACACACCACATCAGCGTTTTCCATGGGACTACAGGACTAAAGCTTTGGGAAACTTTTTGAGCAAAGATTATCAGTATGTTGTGTTCACGTGACATCACAACAGTGCAAAGAGATTATAGTTTAATGCTGAGGTGAATGGCAGCAGAAAAATCATTACTGGTCATTACAGTGAGTGTATTAACATGTTCCAGTTTTTCTTTATAGATCTGTAATTCTGTCTGTAATTCCTGGGCCAATCCACATGAAATGAAGGGTTCCCAGGGGTCCCTTTTTCAAATAGTCCACAATGAATCACCAAAGACGAACCTTACTATCACACTACACCTACATTTATGACATTTAATGACACAATCACA